CGCTCTTGCTGTTCTCGCTCCCACTTCACAGACTTCAATAATGCATGAGGTCTGAGACTTCTCAGACTCTCTCTGGCGAGTGCACTTTTTCGTTTCTTCTAATATTCGAACTCTTATGAATCGCTTCAAAGGCAGCAAATCGCAGCCAAGCATTGGATTTGTAATCAACTCTTAGCTCACTAGGGGAAAGCACAAGCAACATCAGAAAAAAAAAAGAAAAACGAAAAGGAGAAACATTTAGTTGGCGCATTAAAACTGCAAATGCGAGCATTTGATCCTTTTTCATGTCCTTTGACAACTGCTGCTGCTGCTGCTACTTTGTAGCATACTTTTGTGCTGCTTTTTATGGTTGTCCTTTTTTCTGTTCATTTTTGTAGCATTCGATTGTTTGCCATAGAGATAATTTGCAGTTAAGACAAGCACAAGCAGCTCAGTTATGTTGTTTTACATTGTTAGTTGGCTTACAAAAGGCAAAAGACCTGCCAGGACATCAACTGTTAAGCGCCTGATGAAGTAGTTTCACACAGTCTTACGCAGTTTTACAGTTGTTAGCGAGTCCTTCGCATTTTTGATAAGACGCTGCTTAAAGCTGCCTTAAAGTAAGGCAACGACACACTTAAAGCTCCTTTTCGTCCTGATCTCGTTGCTGTCATTCTTTCGTCTCTCGCATTCCCACATTCTTCTTCACGTTTCGAGCACTTTGTTTAAGCAACTTTTCTCGTTTCGGTGTCAAGTGTTTTTATTAGACCCGACGCAGGGGAAAAAGCAAAAAAATAATAATAATAAAAAAAAAAGAAAATACACACACAAAAATCAACAAAATGAAAATAAGGAAAAAGTGGAAAATATGTGGTAAAATGAATATGGAAAATATTACAGCTACTGCTGTCGACAGCTGCCGCCACGACTCCCCCTCGCCCACCGACTGCGCCTATTTTACCTGCGTGCTTTTTGTCGTCTTACCTTCATGAAAGCTGTTGCTTTTTCTTATGGCCATTTCTACTTTTCTTTCGTTTTGCCTTCGCACTATCAAAGCAATATTTAAATGAAGTTTTGCGAGAGCGCACGCAGATTTAAATATCCTGTAGATTCGCGTGCACGAGGGGTAGTATAGACGGCCACATCACTGCCTTCAACATGCCCCCTTCAATGTCAACTGGGTATATGGCAGTCAAGCACGCCCTGTTTTATGCGTTCGTTGGAAACTCATTTTGTAGACACTCAACACGCATACGACATGTGTGACAGCTCAAGTTCTGCTTGCTGTCAACTTTAACCATTTGCAGACATTTGTTTCCTTTGTTTTATGGCATTATATACTTAATATACAGCATATACGTATGTATATATATTCGTGTATGCATGTGTGCTGCTTTATCGGATGTCATTAGCCTAATTGACAAACGAAACAAGAGCGAACGAAAAAGGTAAAAAAAAAAAAAAAAAATGAATAGAACAGAGTCAGCAAGATTTCAGGGTGTAAATAATGAGAGGGAAAAATAAATAGAAATACAGATAAGAATTTATCTGTTTGCCTTTTGTATATTGGTATTTGCATAGAGTTTGTGTGAATAAAATATAGTTAAACGAGTTATTAATCAATTAGACTTGTCAAGCGCTCAATACGCGAGCTGAAACTCGAGGGAAAACATTTCCGTTTATTTTCTTAGCTCAAACAAAACTGGAATTATTAAATTTCAATGCAGTCAACTGTGAAGAGCTGACGTTCAGTACATATGATGTCTGTAATATTTATACTAGCTTAATTAGTATATTTTAAATGCATTTATTTCCATATCAATATATGAAAGTTTCGCTCGGCTTGTATTAAAATATGTTATTAAATGATTCTTATAATATTTTAGTATGAGGAATAGTTCCAAAGAAATAGATATGTGTGAACTCTAAAATAGACAGATGAAGAATGTCCCTAAACTGAACGCAATGGAATAAGAACATGAAATGTTGGGTATGAAACTTATTCCTACTCAAAAGGCACGGAAGCTATACTTAAATAAAGTCTTATGATCTAGAGTCCTAATTTTGCTTTAAAAATATAGTAATGATCTCTCTCCATGATAAATATTTTTTATATACATTTATGAATATTTATTAAGGGACATCGCCATCAACTATGTTTTGCTAGAATCATCTTTTAGCTTCATTTAGCTTCACTCCAGCTTATTCGCTTTACCATACAAAGGACACGTAATTGAAAACATATTACCTGTCTACACTAAAGCGACTGTACAGCAGACAGCAATGGTAAATTGCCTCAATTTATCTATCAATTCATTTTCTCTATTATAAATTTCAATTCAGCAATGGCTAAGCAAAGTTGCTCCTTATGGCTTATCTTTGATCTACGTGTGTGGGGCGTGTGCTGAAGGTTTTATTGTAGATGAAACCTATGTATAAAGGTTTCTAGTATATTTCGTTAGTATAAATAGTATATACTATATAGTATGTACTGTATGTGCGAGTGCATTTGCGGCCCTTGTCTTTATCTTTGGGCGATAATGACAGGCCGTGTGGCATAAAACCCATTAAATCAACTGGCACTTCAGCCACTATGTCTGCCTCCCTCTCTGTGCCTCTGTCTCGCTCTGCCCACGGTTCACATACGAGTCCTTGTAGGCGTCTGATTGGCTACGCCCACTCGGTTGTTTGTTCTGCTTCTTCCTATCGCATCGGCTGATTGTTGTTGTTGTTGTTGTTGTTGTTGACGTTTTGCAATTGGTGTTGAAAACTTCAGTTGTGAAAATTGGGTAACGCTCAACGAGGATGACGATGACTGCAGTCAGCATTAAGTGTTGCGCCCTCTCTCTACCTCCCTCCCTCCCTCTCTTTCTCCTCTCGCTCGCCCACACTTAAACGTCACCTCTCGCTCTCCCTTTCGCTTTTTCTATACCTGGCTGTCAGTAACAAAAGAAAATTTTAATTTTTATGGCGTTTTTTTTTTTTTGTGTGAGTGTGTATGTGTGTTTTTTTCGAGGGCTTCGTGCGCCTCTGTGCTTACAGCAAGTGCCAGAGCTCTGAAAAAAATCCAATTATTTTAAAACTTTTGACAACTGCAACAACAAAAGCAACAACAACAACAGCAGCGGCTACTCCTGCACGGGCAACAATGCAAGGACTATGAAAACAATAAGAAAAGCAACGACAACAACAACATCGAGTTGGCAGCCATTATAACTTCACTTGAAAAGTTTAATTGATTTTTACAAGTGCATATAGAGCATAAAGCATATATATGTATGTATGTATATGTATTTTACCTAGACTGCAACTCAAGCTCTGCCACGCCCACCTACCGCTATAGCCCGGCCGTTTAACTCTTTTTTTTTTTTTTGCTTGTAAACAAAGTGAACGAGAACATAAGGCAAAGCCAGCTGAAAGCAACTGAAATCAAAAGTAACAAAGCTCATTCCATTGCAAAGCGACTTCGTATTTACCTTTTGGCAGTGCCTGCCAACCTGTCCGAGCGTCTGTCCCGTCTGTCTGCAAGTTCGAGAAGTTGGCGCTGCTTGAAGACATTTTAAGCTGAATTTAATTGCCAGCAGTTGTTGCAATTATATTTGCTTCTTGTTTTTGTTTGCCGAGCTCGGATTTTTGTTGCTTTCCGTATAGTTCGTAAAGCTCTCTAATGATAGGCCTTGACTTGGTGCACTACCTGGCTGCCCACCTGACTTCCAGCTGCACCCTCAAGGCCTGCCACTTCTGCTTAATTAGCTGCAGCTAGAGTGCAAACTGGTCTCTTAACATGCTTACTTATACTGAAACACAAAAGTATAAAATGTAATAGGACTATCATATCTACAATATATAAATCATACCTTTGGTATTTTGTGTCCACTAGATGAATATCAGTCAATGAAGGAATACGATTGATTATGACTGCATACTGGGCGTGGCAGTCATTTTCAATTTTCATTCAATTTATTCAAAAATCAGAGTTTGACTTAAGCTAAATAACTAAAAACGCAATTTGAAAAGAAATTTTGTGGGCAGACTGCTGCTAAATCAAATTGCTCAGCCTAAAATGAACCTCAAATATTTTGATCTATCAAATTCAAAACAACAAAGGATTTCGATAGTTTTGATGGGCTTTCACTTGCATAGAAACCACAGAAAAACACACACATCTACACAAAGGCTTGTTCTCTGGCATTCATACAACATCCTTTGGCAAGGATGTGCACGGATTTGCAATTATAAAATATCTCAATCTGCTTCCTCTTATTGCAGGCATTCAAGAAACCTCGTCAAGCAAATAAAAAGCTAAAGCAAAAGAAAACATCGATAAATCAATAAAAATCATAAATAAATAAATTAGAAGAATATAAAACTGCATATCTTTATCTGTATTGCTTAAGAGTTCAATTTCTAAGTATTTAGTACAACTTGTAAGCAGGTAAATTTGGTCGTATAGTAACAACAGCTTCCCTCCACATGGCAACGGCGATCCTGATCTTGATCCTGATGGCAAACCTCATGTGAAATGAATCGATCGTCAATGCATCATTATGTCAACAAATATCATTTTGGCGACAACGACAACGATGATGCGTGAACAACGTAAACTACAACAACAATTATATCAACAACAACGACTACAACAACAAATGGAACGATGGGCGTGACACATGGGCTGAACGCGCTTGAATATTGTTTTGTATTTTATTAAACAAATGCCGCCATATTATGCCAATAATGATGATGATGACATCGCATTTGCTAACACATCTTGTTATATCCGATGATTTTCGGCTTGGCCAAATGTATTTGACGAACGATTGAAAACCATATTCATAACAACCTCAACAACAACGATACGTTTATTAAACTAAATGCTATAAATATACCAATACACACACAATACATACCACACACCCACACGTCACACATGCGTAAAACGTACACTCTTTTTACAATACTTCCCAACACTGTCGTTACACTTTGACTCTCACTCTCTGCGTCTGTCTCTGTCACGCAATTAGCGCGTGCAGCGTCGCTTCGACGTTGACAGCAAAGTTTGAGAGAGCGCGTGCGAGAGCGAGACAGCATATCAGCAAAGAGAGTAAGTCTGATCGAGCCAGAGAGAAGGGAGCGCGCAAGCATATCAGAACTTGAAATTCAACAAAAAGCTCTCGCCTAACTGTTTCACAGTCACAACTCCCCTCACCACCAATACCAATACGCACGCCACCAGCTCCACTCTCTCACTCACACTCACACTCCTTGGCATACATATATAATGGGTCTGCAGGTGGCAGCCACTTTTGTTGCAGCCAACTTGTTTGCAGTCCTGTTGCTTACCTGGACGCCAGCGACCGTCGATGCAGTCCGTGAGTACAAAAACAACAAAAATACTAATAAAATTACTAAAACTACTACAAACAAAAAAAAAAAAAAAAAAGAAAAAAATATAAATATGAATATTTTAATTAATTAATATTAGAAATTAAAATATTGATTATTAAATAACACTTTTTTTTAGTATTACGTATTGAAACATATTCAATCAAACTTATTGGATTTGAAAAAAAAAAAATCATTCTTAAACAAAACTATAATATATTTTTATATATTTATATATATATATATTTTTAAAAAGAATCGATTACGATTAGTACTTATTAGAGCTTAAATCATAAATATATTTTATTATCATTATCATTATTATTGTTTATTTTATTTTATTTATTTAATTTTTTTTTTTTTTTTTTTTTTTTTTTTTTTTACCAATAAATTTCTTTGACAATTTTT